GTTTCTGATTTTAGATTGCTGGTATATTCCTATAATAGATGTTACTTGTTTGTTTTTCATAGTGATGTTCTTAGGGATTTGATTTTTTTTTTTTTTTTTTAATTGCATCAACTGTTCTGGATATTTTTCTTTCCTTAGATATTTTTCTCATTTTATTATCATGCCAGACTTTATTACCTGGTAGTAACTTGCAAGAAATGTGAATTGAGTTATTTGTAAACAAGTATCTATCATCGATGAAGTGCATAACAGAAATTACAATAAGTAAAATCTGGGGCTGACTTATTATGAAGTCATAACACGCAAACGTTTGCAAATCCCAAATTAACAGCGTCTCAATCATAAAACCATTTGCAATGCCGGAGAGACCAAACAAACACAAACAGGATTGACCTTGCGAGAAATCTAGGATTTTCAGCATTTATGTGTCAGAGCCACTGATTTGGAAATTGGGATAACTTCTTGAGAAATGGGGTCTTTTTCCCCCCACATAAAAATATCATTATTCAGCAAACCCCAGTGTCATTTCCTTGATGAGAATGGAGTGACTGACTATCCAGAGCACCATCATGACAAGGTAAACAACCAGTCAGCTGGGAAATTGAATGTAAGCATACAGCATCACCTAGTCTCAGTGCTGAGAAGTAAGCCATGTCACACTGGTCATCCCATGCCTGGATGACCTGTATCTCCCCAAACCTTGACCTCCAGGGCCTTTACAAGGGCGCTTACAGCTAAAATAATGCCCCAGGTCTTCGGATAGCACAGGAGAGGAGCTGCAAAATCAGAGCAGTTAGCATTTCAGGAGGCTGCGCTACCCCTCCCTCTCCACATGCCATCAGCCCAGTTCCCCTCCCTAAAGCATCAAATACAGACCAAACTCATATCCGCACACACACACGCCCCCCACCCCCACCCCCCGACACACACGCTAAGAGAGATTTTCAATGCAGAGGTGCCTGTGGTGAACCCTCCTCACATACATGACTTGCAGAGAGAGGCTGACTTTTGTATTTCTGCCTTATTAGTATTCTTTCAATGCTAGTGTTCTGAAGATCTGGAGAAGTTAGAAACAAGTAGGGTTGGGGAGGGTTGGGAGATAGACAGAAGAAAAAGAAGAACACAGACCTCACTTTTGATCAGTGGATGGTGTGACAATGATAACACCATCTGTGCCCATGTCAAAATGCCAAGTCCCAAATTGAACCCACAAGCCCTGGGTGTTAGTAGCCCGTGGGAATGATCAAATGATCCTTGGTTATTAAAGAACTACATGGTGTCACAAGAAAGGAATGGACTATCCCAACCTGGTCCCAAGATGGTTCCTAAACCCACTTCTGTTGATTCCAACTCATAGTGAGTCTATGGACACAGGAGAACTGCCCCATAGGGTTTCCAAGATTGTCATCTGTCTAAAGGAGCAGCTAGCTGGTGAGGTCAGCTGCCTACCTCTCAGTCAGCATTTAACCACCTAGTCACTAGGGCTTCTTCCAGAGAGGGTTGTCAGTAGTGTATTAGGATTAGAACCGAGTCCTCGTTCCCAGTTCTTTTTGCCATGTGGATGCAGATTTCTAAACAAGACTCTGTCTTGTGGCTGTCTACCACTCTCCCTCATTAATTGCTCACCACATGTGAGAAAGCTTGTGTTCTGAATCAGGGTGAGGAGTTTAGATTCTTTTTAGGAGCTTGGGGACATGTAGCTGAGCAGAATCAATTCCTGTCACTCACACGCAAATACAGGATTACGGATCCGGATGAAACTGCAGTACCTTAATCTTAAAATCAATACAGGAAAGGAAGTTGAACTTGTGGGGATTCTGTGGAGACGGTAAAGTGGGTTCCTCTGAGGTTTGCCCTACAAAATCTCACCGTCCCTTCCTTTCCTGGTTATTTTCTGAGTGAGGAGAGGATGTGGGGGGAGGGTGACAAAAGACAGACCTCTCCCACCAAGTCATCTGAATGAGCACTCAGAGGCCAAGCGCGTTCTCGTTGCATTAAGAACAGCTTTATCTGTTCTTTCTTATTTTTTAGAAGGAAAACAAAAACCCACGGAAAACCTAAGCCTGGGAACCCATTGTCTGTACTTCAGCATGATCAGCTGTCTCTGGTTTCCTATGTGCCTCCCTCAGACTGGAAGACACTTTTTTAAATGTTTACGTCTGTGGCTCAGGCTGCCGTTGACCTATGTAATTTTCTACAAATACATATTCAACCAACCAGTTATTGACTAAAGGATTCCAGGCTGCTAAGCATGTGATTAATATTTACTCCAGTGTAATTCTCCTTTTGAAAGAGCATGAGCTCAGGGTTTAAAAAAGCCCATCTTTTCTTAATCAAAGATTTAGAGTTTACTTTGCCTCTTTTCAGATACAACACGGAAGTGCTACACAGCATGATCGGTCTCTAGCTAGAAGATGGTCTTATTTTTTTTTTTCCCTCAGAGATTTAATTTCATTGTGGGGTTTTTTTCCCCATTATGATGGAACTACAACAAAACCTTCATCAGTTCCACCATTTCTACATGTTTGAATCGGTGATGACATTCTTCAACTTGGGCAACTATTCTTGCTCCCCATTTCCAGATAATTCCACCACCATTCACAGAAACTCAGTGCCCCATAAGCAAAAGCTTCTTCCCCTTTCTCGCCTCCTCCCCATCCCTACTAATCTTTGGCTTCTATATACAAGGAGACTTCAAGAAGTTCATGGAGAAATTCCACTATCTTTTCATTCCATTTTTCCATAACCGTTTTGAAGCCCTCTCGTATGTGCTTATTTCCTATAGGTGAGATCATAACGTACTTATCTTCTTGTGACTACGGATTTATCGCACTCGGCATATTTTTGCGGTTTCGCTATATTGTGCCATTCATCAGTATTTCATTTCTCTCTATGACTGTATAGCATTCCATTGTGTGTATAAATCACCTTGTGTATCCATTCATCTGTTGTTGGGCATGTCAGTTGTTTCCACGTTTGGGCCATTGTGGTGTAGTGGGTTATGCATTGGGCTGTAAACTGCAGGGCCGTAGGATTGAATCCACCAGCTGCTTTATGGGAGAGAGAGATGCTGTCTGCTCTTATAGAGCTTGACAGCCTCAGAAACCCTATGCAGGGTCACTATGAATCAGAACCAACTCCACAACACACACCACCACTAGCATATTCCATTGTGTATATATATCGTGTTGTTTATCCATTCATCTGTTGATGGGCATTTCAGTTGGTTCCACACTTGAGCTATTGTGAAAAGTGCTGCATGAACACTGATGTACAGTTCATTCAGTTAAAAAACATGACTGATTCTATGTGGGTCCTGCTTCTGCAGTAGTAGCAATAATAGGAATTACGATCATCTAATGAAGGAGCTCTGGTAGTGTAGTGGTTACAAATCGGGCTGCGAACCTTAAGGTCAGCGGTTCGAAACTACCAGCTGCTCCGCGGGAGAAAGATGAGGCTT